CAGGCTTGATCTGGGGCATGTGTGGGGGGCAACCAACCAATCGATGTGTCTCTCTCACATAGATGTTTCTCTCTGTCTCTCCCCCTTCCTTCTACTCTCCCTAAAACTCAATGAAAAAATATCCTTGGGTGAGGATTAACAAAACAAAAAAAAGAAAGAAAACTAGCAACTATTAAGGAGCATTAAGTAAACTTATCCTTGATATAATCAGATGAATGAAATATGAGTGAAAACTAAATTTCTTACTATGTAACAATATCCCAATATGTTTCCTTGGGAAAACACCAAAACAGTATGCATAAGTATATTATGAACTCTCTCCCTTATAGTTAATGATAAAAACAGCCACCATTTGAGAACATCCTTGGTCCAGGCACGTGGTAACTTCTAAACATCCTCATCCCATTTTAATGTTCCTGACAACTATGGGTAACTAATAATAACTAATACAATAAACATAGGTATCATTAGCCCCATCGCACAGATGAAGAAACTGAGGCTGCGTTGGCTAATTTGAGATTACACACAGATGTCAAAATTTATTCTAACACCTACCCCCTTAACCACTCCACCCATCATGTAAAATAAATATGCGTGGATTAGGGGTTACTAGTATTTCATGAAGCATGGATGCAAGGATTCCACACTTCATTTCCCCCAAAGGAAAAGTCCCCCTAACAGACAGCTACACAAGCCCCACATGGAATCTCCTCAGTCTGGTCCAGCAAGAGCTGTTCTGGCTGCAGCTCCTGGGGGCTGCCTGCAGGAGGCCCTGCAAATCCGCTTACGGAGAAGAGCCTAGCGTGAAAACAGTTACATATAATCCCTTCCTAGATCACAGAGACAGCTCTGCAACAATTTAGGTATTTGATTTGTTGAATTAAATTATTGCAAGCCCAGATAATCCTTTCATGGGTCCTTTCATGAGTCCTTACCAGAAGAACTGAATAATGTAATTTTGCTGGGACAGAGTCACAAGAAAACAAAATTCTTCCAGGTTCTACATGGCAGAGTGCAAAAGTAAAGATGCTTTGGACAAAAACTCACGAAAAACAAGATATGATACGGTCAGACTAAATCTGCGAAGGGATACGCCTGCTCTTCCGGCAAGATGCTGGCAGAACACCAACACCTCCGCCCCCAAGATGAAGGTGACAAGGGCTAGCTTTGACGGAGAAACTGATAACCTAGCTGGGAGGCAAAGAATGTGCACCAGAAGAGTAAAACAAACCCCGAACAGTGCTGGGAAAAGTGAGGACCAGATAGAGACAGGAACAGCAGGGAGGAGGTTGGGGGCAAGAAGTAGGGGCACGAAAAAGTTTGTGTGGGTGCAGAAAACCTGAGTAAAGCCCTAGCCGGTTTGGCTCAGTGGACAGAGCTTGGGCCTGCAGACTGAAGGGTCCCAGGTTCAATTCTAGTGAAGGGCACTTACCTAGTTGTAGGCTCAATCCCTGGCCCTGGTCAGGGCATGTGCAGAGGCAACCAATCAATGTGTCTCATATCAATGTTTTTCTCTCTCTCTTGCCCCCTCCTTTCCACTTTCTAAAAACATCAATGGAAAAATATCCTTGGGTGAGGATTAACAATAAAAAAGAAACCTGAGTAAATTTGTTTTGACTTGATGAGAAGACGAGTCTATAGAAATAATAATAATTCAAACAAAGCAGGTAAAAGAGCAAGGTAAGAGAAGGCCCCTAAATGCCACATCAGAACATTCAGTTTAAATGCATGAACTGTGTAAACACATAAGACTCCCAGCAAGTATTGCTGGTGAATGGGATGGAGTTTACTGTTTTTCAGTCCTAAATCATTTGCTTTCTCTTGGACATAGTCCTCCTGGTTGTCAACAACTGAACCCTCTGTCTAGGAGTAGAGATTCAAAGAGCTCTGTCTAGCACTGTTCTCAACCTTTCTGTCCCAGGGTTAAAAATATGTAATAAATCATATACAACCTGGTGCTTAATGCCAGAGTTGAATTCTTACATAGGGGTAAATGCTTAAAAAGAATATTTAATATCCTGACAAGTTTACTTGCAAGAATTAGTTTTATATTTTAAAATATCAAGCAAAGTAAAGATGCCTTGGACAAAAGCCTCATGAAAAACAAGATATGATATAGTCAGACTAATTTTTCCTTATAAAACTAAAAAGGTGAGTGAGTCCTCTTATAAAACTCCTTTTAAAAAAACTGCACCCCTGCCCTGGCTGGTGTGGTGGTTGAGTGTTGTCCCATGCACCAAAAGGTCACTGGTTCAATTCCTGGTCAGGGCACATGCCCAGGTTTTGGGCTCCATCCCTGGTAGGGGGCATGCAGGAGGCAGCCGACTGATGTTCCAATCTCACACTGATGTTTCTTTTTCTCTCCCTTTCCCTTCTTCTCTTTATAAAAAAATCAGTAAAAATATTTTTTTAAAAAATTGCATTCCTGCCTAAACTCAAATAATGGGATCATTTATAGAAAATCTAGTAAAGTTTGAGATCAAATATCCCTGAACAGAGTTATCTAAAGTTACTCTGTGATCAGGACAGCCAGGCAAGGCCTCAAACCAGTACCAGGTATTTCAAGAGGCAGTGTGCACACTTGTGGTTTTGTGGTCTTCAACCGTCTTGCCAGCCTGGAGGACTCGGGCTGGCCAGGGACAGCTGGTGACAGTGTGCAGCCTGGCTCAGCAGAATCCAGCGTAGGAGAGTCTGCACCTCCAGAGATGCATTCCCTGCTGAAATCTCACTGCTGTGGCTCTTCCTACCCTTCCAGGGACCTGACCAAAGACCCTGAACAGGCATATTTTCCAACTGATGAGTAATATTCTCCAGTTGGAGGAAAAGGCAAAAAGGAAAAACTTTCTACTCATCTATTTTAATATCAAATGGAAGCAATTTGATGATATAATGTATGGTGTTATGGTCACTTGTGTCCTTCTGGCCTATAATGTTTATGGATCTCATACATATTTTTCTCAAAGCTACCCTTTGAAGCACCCAGCCTGCACCTGGCTTACTTAGCTCACTGTAGGCATGTTAACTATTCTCCCACTTGAACAAAATAATAGTGGGGTGTTAGAGGAAGCTTAAGCTCCCAGGGAGGGATCATCTCTCACTGGAGCTGGAAATCCACTGCCCATATCCAGGGGAGGGGGAAGGGCTGGCCCTTGGCAGCCATTGGCTAAAAAACAGAAACAAACCGTTTCCTTAGAGCTGGCTAAACATAGTGACAGCTGGACTGTGGAGGATCACAGAGGGAGAGAAGTCCTTATGGTTGGAAAGGGGTGTGACCATCAAGGGAGCAGGAAACGTTGGAGGAGCACAACCGCTCCACAGAATGCCACTCCATCACCCTGCTCCTGGAGTTGCAGGTGCAGTCACCACCCTGCATAATCCACCTCCCTGCCAGTATCTTGGGCAGAAAGGCAGGAGCTCCAAGGGCCACTTCTCAGTGTGTCTCAGATGTGGAAGCAACCTCAGGACGAACCAGGTCTGGATTCTTCAGGTGTAAATCTTTTCTAGGTCTGGTATCTATCATCACATGGTCGCATTCCTCTGCTCCTCTAGGAGAACAGGAAGTTACTGAACACCAACCTAATCCTGGCAGTTCATAAACAGAGGGAAAGCCTGGACAGACACACCAACAGGCACAGACACGTGAATAACAAAGAACCAGCAGCTGCCCTCATGAGGGCAACACAATCCAAGGAGCCACAATCAAGACCTGAGGGCAGGCCCTATGCAGATACTACAGCTCACTCCCCCAGAAACACTGCCCTACAGGATTATTTCAGGTGACAAGCCAGTGTCTACCCAACTTCACAGCCCCAACTGCTTTCTTGCCACAGGGCTAGTCAGAAGTATCTGTTCTGGCTCTCATACTGCACTTTCGCCTTGGAGGCCTACAGGCTCTGCCTGCTGATGTCACTCAAACTTGTTCACAGCAAAGACCACAAGTGATCTTTCCAACACAGGTCTGTGCAGGATTCCCAATGACTTCCTCTCCACTCCCTACTAGATGAACTCTAACTCCTCTGGTTGGCATGAAGGGCCTCTTACACCTGACCTCCCACTCATCTCCGCAGCCTCATCTCCTTCTGCTGTCTCCACAACTCCCCAAAGAGATGGGTTCTCCCTCCTTCTACCATTTTGTCCTGAAAACTACCCTTCCTCTGTCAAGGCATCCATTTGGCAGGTGGGTGGCTGAGACCCTCCTCCGCAAAGAATGGCCAAGGCCGAGAGAACCTGAGCCCTCACCACAAATGGCCACTGAATCAATGAACTAAAGGGCAGTCTGCTGAGTGAGAGCAAGCCCTGAGGCCCAGCCCTCTGGACCCTCCAAAGTGCCTCAACACCAGGACCAGAGAGGTGACCTAGAAACGCCAATATCCCCTGCTCTTCTCTAACGCTAGTGCGACCGTGTGCTACCCCTCGTTTCTTGAACGTCCTAAATCCTCAATTAGACTTGACACCTGCTCCGGTGACCCAGCAAGGGCCCCAAGTGCCCAGGTCCCCAGCATCTCGAGGGGCATCCAGAGGGGCACGGCCTAGCACTAGAACCTGTAGGCTGTCCATTTCTAACAAAAAGAACTGAGCAGACCCAGTGTCCGGAATATCTCTTGGTGCTGAAGAATTTTCCTGGAGTAATCTTTACCTAGCAGGTGGAGGAGACCCTGCTCCGCGAGAGGCAGGTAGGCAGGGGCTCCCTCTTCCCTGCCCCGCGCCCTCATCACCCCCTACCCGGGTACCCCTAGAGTCTGGCCCGTGGCCCTGGACAGCCACTCACAGCCTTCTCTCCACCTTCCCGGCCCAGGCCGCCCGCAAACCCAGGAGGCCACTCAGCCCAGGAGCTACGGTCCCGCCCACTGCCCGCAACTCTGAACTCCGGAGACCCCGGACTCGCAGGCCCATCCCAGCGCCGCGGGGGTCAGAGGACGCATTCTTCCCCAGCCACCCCACCCCACCCCACCCCGGAAAGGAGAGGTAGAACAGGTCCGGCGGCAGACGGGACCGGAAGAGCGCGGGCAGGGCGGGCCATCGGCGAGGGGTCGGGGCCTCGGGAGTCGCCCGGGAGCCACCTTCCGTGCCAGGGGCGCCGTGGGGCGCTGGCGGCGGAAAGAGTAGTTTCCAGCTCCGGCCTCCTCCGGCCTCCGGGCCCCGAGCGCAGTCGTCCCGAGGGGAGGGAAGCACGGGAGCAGACAGGAGAGAGGACACTTACTTAAAAGGCTACATAGTTTCACTCCCTGCCCTTCCCGGAGCAGCGGCGACACCACCCGGCCCCTGGGATCCGGCCTCAGGTACCACCACCCCAGCGCGCGGCCCCACGCCACTGCCCACCCTCTTACTCCACCGCTGGGCGGAGCCGCGTCCGGGTCAGCCCAATGAGCGGCCACCCTGATCCTGAGTGACGTGCGCGCAGAGCAATCATTAAGTCCGCCCGGCCGGGGGGCGGTTCAGGCGGAGCACTGCGCTTCCTCCTCAGGCCAGCGAGCCCCGAGCTGCCCACTGCGCGTGCCCAGAACGGAGAGGGCGGGGTCGCGAGCAACGCTGTCACGCGAAGGGGTCCAAGCTTGGTCTCTGGAAAGCGGGCTGGATTGAGATTGGGGACCCAGGAGCCAAACCGCTTCATGTGTCGCCCTTTACTGCTAGCTTCGGAGGACGGAGGTGCCCAGGCCTATGAAGTACACCACTCCCGTCGCTGGCAGGGGCTGGGAGTCTAGGCCCCTCACTTGCATGGATGTAGAGTGACTCAGCCCCCCCCCCTTTTTTTTTTACTTGGGCCTCAGTTTCCCCCATCCGTTAAATAGAGGGTTAGATATGCGAAGCGCTATTATTCCAGAACTGCAATGGGGTGAGGAGGGAGAGACAGGGGACCTACACGTGACCTCCCCGCTCGGGGCCCCGCCTATCCCTTGTCCAGGGGATGGAAGCATCCCGCGAGGACGGGCGGGGTGGGTGGATCCTAAGAAACACGACCCAGCCATCCTTGGCAGCGGCTAAGGCGGAGCGCGCAGCCCGCGGGTTAGTCCTAGAGACGGTACCAGAGGAGGATGGGGACCGCAACCCGGGCTTCGCAGGGGGCCACCGTGGAGGCCAGGGCAGTACAGAGACTCAGCGTGTGACTTGAGCGTACCTGGGAGGATGGACGAGGGGACCGGAGGCAGCTAACGCGCCCGGCGCACGTCGCGAGTCCCTAGCTGGCTCCGTCCACAGCACTGCAGCGCGGAGCTGGTGGGGCGATGAGGAGGGTGCCAGCGGTCCGACCCGGGGCCGCAGTGGGGATTGGCCGTGTTTGGCCATGCTGAGGGCCTGAGGCCGAGAGGGGCGCAGCGGTCAGGTTGTGCCGGAGCGCACCGCCATGGCGAGGGAGGAGTGCAAGGCGCTGCTGGACGCGCTCAACAAGGCGACCGCATGCTACCACCACCTGGTGCTTACTATCGGAGGCTCGGCGGACTCGCAGAACCTTCGTGAGGAGCTGCAGAAGACGCGCCAGAAGGCGCAGGAGCTGGCGGTGGCCACTGGTGCTCCGCTGACGACCGCGCTGCGAGACAAGGGCATGGGCGCCGAGGAACGCGCCGAGTTCGAGCGCCTCTGGGTAGCCTTCTCCGGCTGCCTGGACCTGCTGGAAGCGGACATGCGGCGCGCGCTGGCGCTGGGCACCGCGTTCCCTCTGCACGCGCCGCGACGGCCGCTGGTGCGCACGGGTGTGGCGGGCGGTGCGGCAGGCGTCGCGGCACGCGCCCTGAGCGTCCGCACCCTGCGGCACGAGGCAGAGCGCAACTTCGACGCAGACGATCTGCGGGAGCTGGAGCGGGAGATCCTTCAGGTGGGCAAGATGATCCACGACCTGGAGATGAAGGTCAACGTGCCCCGCTGGACGGTGCAAGCCCGGCAGGCGGCGGGCGCCGAACTCCTGTTCAGTGCTGGAGCCTCCTCGGCGGGCTTTGTGTCCGTAGAAGAGCGCACAGGGCCCTGCGACCCGAGCAAGGCCCTGGCTGCCACTGTTTTCAGCGCCGTGCTGCTGGCGGCTGTGGCCCTGGCCGTGTGCGTGGCAAAGTTGAGCTGACCGACACCTGATAGCCTGCCGCTCAGCTCCTTCCTGACCGCCACCTCTCCTTCCCCAGGGACGCCCCTCTCCCGGAATGACCCTTACCGCTAGGACTCGGGATGGGAGTGAAATCTGGCATGTTTACGGGGAGCAATTCTAAAACCCCGTGTGTGTAGGTGTACACGCATATTTCAAGCACACAGCTACCAGCAGAACGTGGTTTCCTCCTGCTGGCCAGGGAGGAGTTAATTTGTGCAGGTTGCCAGGGCATTACCGCTAATGTTTGCAGGAGCTTTATCCTCTATTAATAGAAAACGGTCCGCAGTGACCCCAGATTCCTCTGAGTTAATGGGTTACCGCGTGTGCTGCTGGGGCGTGTTTGCACTGAGTCCGAGCTTGGTGCCACCATCCCTACTGGAGACTCCCACGCTACATGGGGCAGTTTGATGAAGGCGGTGATGAAATGAAGTGTGGAGAGGGGGGCTGTTTTGCTGGAGGGGGTTGTTTCTTCCTGGACAAGAGGCAAATTGCCACAGGATATAAGCAGGGTTTCTATTATTATTATTACCTTAATCCTCTGGGGCCTAAGTTTAGGAGAGGAAAAATAGACGTTCATGCAAAGTGCTTTCTGGATGGCTCACGATTGTGCTTCTTGGCAGAATCACCAAAAGCAGCTAGAAGAAGTTTGGGGTTGTGGCCTCACTGCAGGGTCTGACTCTGCTTAGGAAACCAGAGAAGGGCCACAGAACCTTCCTTCATGGGGTTGGACCCACTGCGCACACTGCCTATTTAAAAGGGCTCTCCCTCGCCTGCCTGGGAGGGGTGCAAACTTTGGAACTTTCTCCTTCCCTTTGGCTTATTTTTGTTCCAGAACTAGACCAGAGTTTTTTATCCTCCTTTTCAGGGAGGGCTGGGGAATCCTCTTTGGAGCCCTTAATCCTGTCTATCCCTTGGAATTTGCTTGCTAGCCAGTAGGAGAGCTGGTTTTGGAAGGAGCTGCACAGCTCTCTGACCCCAACACTGCCCCCTGAGGGGGTATAGTAGCATCACTGGCGCGCAGAGAATGTAATAGTTTTAACTTGGAATTTAATGTGTTTTAAAAATAACAACCATTTTAAAGAAAAATCACATTGTGTACTATCAAAGCTGTTTGTTTTTTTCTAAAGGACATTTGGCCACGAATTTATACGTGCCAATGAGTCAAACATAGTTTTTACTTATATACTTTGGTTACTAAATATATATTTGCATTTATTTTTAAAATTGATCTTGAAGGCAGGAGGTCATAACAAAAACTACTAGAACCACAAGTGTAGGTGACAGGAGTTAAGCAGCCCTTGCTTCCCTTGGTCAATAAATAAGGAAATGTAGAAAACACCCTGAGTCTGAGGCTGGAATTTGCCTGAGCTGGGCTGCCACCTCCTACCTGTGTTACCAAGAGAACATCTGTTGAGAAAAAAAGATGCATTTACTCCATAAAGGTAATAATTTGGCATAAAATTCATAGGCATTGGTTTGGCTCAAAACTGAGAAGGATTTTTTTTTTCCTTTTTTACCTCCAAAGTGAGAAAAGGGACCAAGAGGAGGGAATTGGCAGGTTTTCACAAGGGCAACTTGGGAGGGCCAATGGCAGAGGCGAATAGCAGCAGGAGTGCTGTTTGGGCACCCAGTCCTAACTGAGGACAGTCCTCCCAGCCCACTCCCACTCCTCCTCAGCACACAGATTCCAGTAACTTAGAATATGAGATGTTTGCATAGCAGTTTTAAACGACTCTTAGCCGAATTAAAGTTTTATGACAACAACTAATTAAAAGAAACTTCTGCCTCATCCAGTCTGCGTGAGTCTGAATAGCGGCCAACATAAAATTATTTTGCATCTGACAGCCCAGGGTACTTTCAGAGATGACACAGTTTTCTAACTCCTTTCTTCCTCTTCCCATAAACAACACAACATGGAATCTCAGGCAAGAGGAGGCTGGGGCATTTTGTGACCCAGTGTTGGAAAATATCCCTAAAAACCGAGCCCTAAGTAGATTTTTCCTTTTCTAAGACTGTGATTCTTTGTTCTTTTTTTTAAAGAATAGTTTTATTTAAAAAAAAAGAGAGAATAGTTTTATTGATTTTTTGAAAGAGAGGAAAGAAGAGGGAGAAAGAAACAGTACACTCCTTACTGGGGATCAAACCAGCAACCTCCTGGTGTGCAGGACAACCCATTGAGCACACTGGCCAGCGTCTGACTATGTTCTTATCAAGATGTTCTGTTCATGAAAAACAAATTGTTCAGCAGAACCTGTTTTTTAAAAAACTTCAGAAGTTGTGTAATCCATAGAGAGCAATTGGTTGTCACTCTTTCCACCCACTTGGCAGATCCTTGGGTCTTCACTTATATGTACAATCAGATGTGCACCTGATTCTGAGAGCCCTCTGCTCACTGGAATTTGTGATAAAGTGTTGCAAATTAGGTCGAATTACAATAAACATATTTTTGCTGTAGACTTGTTAGCTTAAACAACACTCTTGAGTTTGAAAATGTTAAACATTAGGAATAGTTGGCATTATTTGTAGTTATAACATTGCCTAATAGAACTTTTGCTCGATGATTCAAGCAAAATCACTTGCTGCTTGAGCAATAGGCTACTCTTTCTCTCTGCTCTCATTTCTATATATATTTCAAGAAATTGCTTTCTTGTAGAAGCCTGATTTAACTTAGATGTTTGATATGTTAATAATTCTCTAAAAAACACTTGGTATGATTTTTATACCAGGATACAAGTGATAGAAAAGAAAACAAATTCAACATGTTTAATATAGGGTATAATGAAGCAGTCAATGTTAAGGTCTATGTGAGAGAACATCTAATTTCCCAAATTAAAAGTACAAGCTAAAGGATAGAGTTTTACTTCCAAAGTAAAGTGCTATTGTTAAGTAAAATCTCTTGTGAAGTTAAATACTTGTAAAGAAGAAACATCCCTGACTTATCCTTTGGGAAAACAGCACTTGCTTTTTGTGATACTGAAAAGACAAAAACTTGATATGTTAAGGCACTTATCATGGGAACTTTGAACTATTGCTATTATTTTTTAAAAAGCACCAACTAATAATGTTTGTGGGAGAAAAAATGCCCGCTGGAAAATTCTTTTTTTATGTGCTCTAAAAACTTACACTTTTAAAATGCCAGAAGGGAAAATATTTTTGGTGACTAAAAGTAGATCATAAACTTTATGATTTACCTAAAGTTTACAGTAAGCTACATATGAGATGCGTGATGTCGAATGATTAAAAAGTACTCTGGTTGAAGAGAGAAAGAGTTCTGGTTTGCATGAGGACCCTGATAATGCTGCATTTTCCTTTTCAATGTGCACATTGATATGTTTTTAGTTATTTGGTTGCTTTTCAGAATGCAGTTCTCTGTTCTTTATTGAGTGCTTGTTAAGGGTGTGAGCCCGAGAGTGTGAGTCTGCGTGTCAGTCTGAGAAATAAAGTGACTAGGACTGGACTCTCTATGTTCTTTGACCAGCTGCAATTGGCAGGGACTCTGCCTCCCTCCAAGTACCTCAGACACGTCACTGACCTCCCTGTGCCTCACGGCCCTCATTTAGGAAATGGGTGTGTGTGGGGGGGTCCTCACTAACTCAAAGGTCCCTTCCAGAGCTTAAAACATTTAATGGAATGCAGTTAAACAAGAAAGGGTTATTTTGATTGTTTGGTGTGTTTTGGTGCATATTGAAATAGAAACTTACAGTTTGGTGGTTATTGTCTAAAATTAGTCTGTGGGTAAGATTCCATATGATTTTTAAAAATCAGAATCAACTAAGCTTACTGTGATTTTAGTCCATATCAGAACTAGTGGGTGGACTTAAAAAGCAAATTTGTGTCTGCTACTTAAATTAGATTAGGAATTTAAATTCAGACCCTAACTCTAAGTCCAAGAAAGCCCAGTATTTATTAAATAGTTTGTTGTACCCAGCAGTTGGACCACCTAAACTGATTCTGGGAAATTACAGATGCGAAAACCTGTCATTTGTCATGGAGACTGGGAGAATCCTATTCTGTAAGTAACCTGGTGCCCTCAGAACTATAACTACATTGGCTGCCTGATGTCGGGGAATGTGAGCACAGCATGTATGTGGCATTGATAGGAGCAGGGAGGAAATGGTGGGCACTAAATGGTTCATAGATATTATAAATCATTTCTGTTGTCTTCATCAAAGAAGGTACACTCTGGCCTGGTAACTGACCCTCTCTGGGAGTTTGGAATGCTGTCCATTCTCTGATTCTGGGAACGGGCTAAGCTGTTTGACATCATAAAAGGATTAACTACCTTGTTAGCAGACTTCAGGATTCTGGGATGGGACACACTGACCACATACCCCACAGCCCTTATCCTGCTCTACGTAGCTTTTCTTCCCTATTCCTATATAATCAGCCAACTGGCAGAAGATGTTAGAGTAGTTTTTTTTTTAAGTTTTTATTGATTTGAGAGAGAGAGGAAGGGAGAGGGAGAGATAGAAACACCTATGAGAGAGAGAAACATCCATCTACTAGGGGGCATCCTGCACGCCCCCTTCTGGGGATTGAGCCCATAAGCCCTGGGCATGTGCCCTGACAGGGAATTGATCTGGTGACCTTTTGGTTCATGGGTTGATGCTCAACCACTGAGCCACATCAGCCAGGCAGAGTAGTTTTTTTAAAGATGCCACATCTGCTGCTCCTATTGCCGACAATTCGAATAAACACAAGATTCAACCTGGTCTCTACTCATTGACTTAGTGGCGACAGGCAGCAATGGACCTGTTATGTCTGGTATCAGCATCAGATCCAAGGTGGAATAAAAAGCTTTGTGTCTTTTAACTAAAATGTTTATTAATAACTAAAAATTAAAGATAACATGCAGTATTTATAACTTAGTCGGAAAAGGCACCCTCAAATGATTTGGCTGTCAACTATTGTGATTTAAAAAAAAAATTCCTAATCTTCATGCATGTTTAAAGTGAATGTCCTGATCAACGTATTTACCCTTCACAGATTTCATTACATAAAGAGGTGTTCAGAAATACCCCAGGATTATAAATCTCCAAGTGCTGTTCTACAATATGATTATACTCATCTTTTAATGTAGCCTGGAATCCAGGAAGAAAAGTAGGTCTCCGCATGAAGGATCTTTGGCTGTGCTCAACAAAGATGAAAGTAACATTTAAATATTGTTTCCTTGGCTCTTAGGAACAGACCAAAGGAGCAGGGACTGACCACATGCTGCAGCCCTGTGTCCATGAGGAATAAATGGATTTCTGGAGAAGCATTCTTCTCTTTCATTTACTTGTTTTCATCTCATTCCACAGAGGAATCTGAGTGTTTTTATTGTAGTACTATGAGATCTTGGGCATCCTTGTTCTTAGGTGTGTAAGTTTAGAATTGTATAAACTTGAGGCTCATATGACAAATGTAAATAAGCCAAATGAGGGCTCCTGTTGGCAAAATGATTTTGAAGAGTCCTTTTAATATGCTATTGCCACAAGGCAAAGTTGAGTGTCTCCTGCTTGTATTTATGTATGTGTTAGGCATATAGAGAAGATCTACAAGGAAATGCACAGAAATGAAAATATTAAGGTGGTGGGATTATGAATGATGTTTTTTCAGTATTTTTAATTTAGTGTTGTTATATTGTTTTTACAATAAAAATTTGAATGCTCTTATCACCTGGAAAATGTTATTAAAATATTTATTTTTTACAGTTAGAGTCTTAATTATAATTAGAAACCATTTTAGAACCTTCCTCCCAAAAACAAGGCAAAACACTTCTGGACTCTTACCCCAGAGAATCAGAAGCATTCTTTGAAATATGGTATCAAGATAGAATAGCATTGAGGTTAAGAGCACTGCCTATGGAATAAGATACACCTAAGTTCTGATCCGACCTCCTTAAAGAAGTTCCTTAATCTCTCTGACCTCAATTGCCTTATCTTTACAATGGGAGTATTAATAGGGTAAACTTCATAGGAATGTACAGATGACTTTTTCCAAGCTGTCAGAATTCAATGAATGTTCGCTGTCATTGCTGCTATTTACCATCCCATTTTAGAAGTCCAAAAAATGGAATGATTGCCATATATATATATATAACTTTCTAAAAATCAATTTGAAGATTAAAACTAGATAAACTTGTCAAATGAGAGAAGGTATGTAACAAAGAGGTTAAGGCTACAGAGGGAAATTCAGGCTGATGTAGATGTTGGAATCCATACATTTATAAAGTCAAACTTATTGAGGTATAATTTAAATGCAGCAACACTCACCCTTCTTAGGTGTGCAGTTTTGAGTTTTGACAGATGTATACAATCATGTAACCACCACCCTAGTCAAGATAGAGAATCTTTCCTTCACCCCCAAAAGTTTCCCATGTCCTTTAGTAGTCAATCCTTTCCTCTCACCCCTGGCTCTGGCTACCACTTATCTGATTTCTGTCCCTATAGTTTTGCCTTTGCCAAAATGTAACATAAATGGAATCATACATTTTTTAAAAATATGTTTTTATTGATCTTAGAGAGAGAGAGGAAGGGGAGAGGGAGAGAAAAAAACATGGATGAGAGAGACATTTATTGGCTGCCTTCTGCACGCCCCCTATTGGGGATCGAGCTCAAACCCTGGCAAGTGCCCTGACCCAGAATCAAACCTGCAATCTCACGGTGCACAAGATAATGCTCATCCAACTGAGCCATACTGGCCAGGGCAGAATCCATACATTTTTGAGAAAAAAATGTTGTGAATATTTTAAAAACTCTTCTCAAAAAAACCTTTTGAGAAATAAGTTTTATGTGGTGGTTCTTGGTGCACAGGGTGTTACTGGTCATTCATGGGTGAATTTTGTTTCACAGCAGTGACATGCCTTGGTTTCTAGGCAGGTGGAACAAACTTCTGTTACTGTTGAATCTCTAAGCTAAAATAATCTCTCCATGGCTAGCCCTGCAGATCACATTCTCTTCCTTTTTCAAGTGAAAAAACCTAATAAATAATGAATAACAGAAATGAATTTAGGATCGCTGAAAGAGAGATTGAAATAAAAGCCCACTTGGAGCTGTGGGTAAGAAGCAATGTGACATGTTTGTAACCCCCCCACCCCCAGGATTATGCATGTTCTAATAAATTAAATGAGGAAATTTTGTATTGTGAAGATAGCTTGGGAGGATAGTAGAGCATAAGAATGAAGAGACAACTTTCCTTAGCTATGAAGTAACTGTTGACTCATTGTATTGTGAGGGAATGGCACATAGTAATTGCTAGCACTAGAAGGGGATGGCTGTGTGCACTTACTGTCAGGCCTGTGGTAGCTGGCACTGTGCATGGCAAAACAGGGCTGGGCAGGGCATTCAGAAAAATCTGGGGACAGTTTTTGATACTTGCTGTTGTGGGACCGTAAGTAAATCACAATGAACTGTCTTTTCATTATCTCTTGCCCATTTTTCTATACAATTGGAGTTTTTTCTTTTCCATTTTTTTCTAATTCTTTGTAAAAAATATATTTTTTATTGATTTCAGAGAGGGAGAGGGAGATAGAAACATCAATGATGAGAGAGAATCATTAATTGGTTGCTTCCTGTGCGCCCCACACTGGGGATGGAGCCCACAACCCAGGCATGTGCCCTGACCAGGAATCGAACTGTGACCTCCTGGTTCATAGGTCAGTGCTCAACCACTGAACCATGCTGGCTGGGCCATTTTTTCTAATTCTTAATACTTTATGACAGGCATCACAGGTAATTTTTTTGTGTTGGTTTTTATATCTCAGACTCTCTTCTGGTGTTTTTATCATAATAAATTTATAAATATGGACAGAAAGTGTGTCAAATTGAAAGCCATGTCATCGAGGCATTGTAGAAATGGACCCTTCTTCCCAGTGCCCAGTCAAATCACAGCTGACTTGCTGACCATAATCTCATGGGAGATAGAGTCAGAATCACCCAGCTAAGATGCTCTCGAATTCCTGATGCAGAGAAACTGTGAGATAGTAAATGTTATAGTAAATGTTTTTTAAGCCACCAAGGTTTTTTTTTGAAGAATTAACAGCAATAGATAAGTAATATATCTATTAATTAGTTTTTCTGTGAGCAGAGCACATTAGATTTTAATATATTTGTATCTCTTGCTGCTCAGGGTCTATTCTTTGATTCTGTTCTGGCTCTTGGCTACAGTTCAGATAACTGAGGTTATAGGATACTAGAGGCCCAGTGCATGAAATTCGTGCACTTGGGGGGGGGGTCCCTCAACCCAGCCTGCACCCTCTCACAGTCTGGGACCCCTCAGGGGATGTCCACCTGTTGGCTTAGGGCCTAAGTCGGCACTCAGACATCCCTCTCACAGTCCAGGGCTCTCGCAGTCCGGGACCCCGCACTCCTTACCGCTCATTGGTAGTGGAGGTGGGAGAGACTCCTGCCACCACCACTGCACTCGCCAGCCATGAGCCCAGCTTCTGGCTGAGTGGCGCTCCCCCTGTGGGAGCGCACTGACCACCAGGGGGCAGCTCCTGTGTTGAGCATCTGCACCCCGGTGGTCAGTGCATGTCATAGCGACCGGTTGTTCCGCCATTCAGTCGATTTGCATAATAGCCTTTTATTATATAGGGTGATCTCTGGATACATACATAAAGTGGTGCTGCATCATCATAGAGCTGCCTAAGACCCACATGGCAGTGTGCAGTTCTGGAGACTGTTCTGCATTGGTTAAGATCTAAACAAAGTGCATCACTTTGCTATGTACTCCAGAACTTGGCCATATCTCAAGAGTGACCACCTTTGGGAAAACCACCTGACATAGAAACAAACATGTATACCTACAAACCATGGTGTTATTTTACAGTGAAGAGTGTGTCCTTTCTTAACTCTTCTGTGAATGATTTCTCATCTGTGAAATGGCAATAGCTATTTCCACTTTATAGGATTTTGAGAGGATTATACAAAGTTCCTAGTGCCTCACACACAGTAAGTGCTTAGTGAATATTAATGTTATTACTCCTAGGATTGAAGGACTGTTACTTCAGTCTCCCAAGCTAGAACCTTAGCTCCTTTCTCTCCCTTGCTCTGCATATTCAATCAAATACTACATCAAGTCTATCTCCTACATACTCTCTAAGTCATTCCCTTCTCCTACCTCACCCCGCTCTCCACAGCTACTCTCCTAGTTCAGGCCCCCATTATTTCTTGCCTAGCACAGTCCAGTTTGCAGCCATCTAGTAAATCCTATCTTCCCTAAACCAGGGACACTTAAGAGTAAGTGGTTTGTACTTCTCCTCCTCAACCAGAGGGAAAATAGCTATATCACCCTACTCAGGGAGACAGACAGAAATCCAAATAGTGCCATTTGCCAACCACACCCAAGGACAGATGAAGTTAAAAGAATAAATCTCATTTTGGCATATCAGCATAAAGCTGACGAATATTCTATTGAGATCCTCCCCTAAATGCTCAGCCTTTAAAACCCTTCAAAACAAGGGTCCAGCTCCATGCTCCCCTCTTTCCTCACAGGCAGGCATCTCCTAAATTCTAAAGGACCCCACAAGGCTTGTAACCAGGGCAGCAATGGGCAGTGGCAGTTCATCTGGAACAAACTCCCTGAACCTCTCTTCAAGGCCCCTTTTCTGTGACGTTTTAGTGAGCCAATGCAGTACAGCGTAGGCTCATTTCCTCAGCCCTTCCTGCTTTCTTTTTTTTTTTTTAAATCCTCACCTGAGGATAGTTATTCCATTGATTTCCAGAGAGTGAGGGGGCTGGAGGGGGACAAGAAACATTGATCGGAGAGAGACACATCCATTGGTTTCCTCCCCTCTCACCTCCCACCCGTCTCCCCACAGTATGAGCCCTTGACCTGAAATCCAACCCCAGGCTCTTTGGTGTTCCAGCTGACGCTCTAACCACTGCTCAGCCTGGATCCAGCTTTAATAAATGTCCTCTAAACTTCACCGGGACTTGTGTTGTGAATTTTCCCCACAAACTACCGGCTGGCCCTAGGCTGACCCGCTCAGGGCCAGGTCCCCTTTTGGGTAGCAGCACCAGGCCTGGGTTTGTAGCACACATTCCTGCTTTTGGTCCTGTGTCCCGAGTGAGGGCTGCGCGGCTCTCCTTCGATGCGGCTGTGACCGCCCTTGTCCCGAGAGAGTGGCCTGGTTGGGGACCAGGGCTCTGGAGGCGGTGCTTGCTCGCGGCCGCACCACGCCTCTCCCGCTGGAAGGCGCCCGCGAAGGCTCAGCAGCCCGGTTCCCAGAGAGCCGGCGGCTGCGGTTCGACCTAAGAGACACCGGCGTCCGTCCTCAGGCCTCCGGTCCGTCCTCAGACCACCCACGGGCGGTCCCAGGGGGTCCCGGAGCGCCGGCCGGCGGGAACCCGGAGGCCGGAAACCATGAGCGGCTTCCTGCGCTCCGGCTCCAGCAGCTGGCGGCGGGCGGCCACCTTGGTGCTGGCGGCGGGCTGGGCGCACCCAAGCCCCGGAGCCCCGGCGCTGCCGCCGCTGCCCGCCGAGGGCTTCCGGCTGCTGCTGCTGCAGCGCTCCTCGCAGCAAGGCTTCATGCCCGGGGCGCACGTCTTCCCGGGCGGCGTGGTGGACGCGGCCGACTGCTCGGACGAATGGCTGCGCCTCTTCGCGCCGCACCACGGGCCGCCGCGCTTCGGCCTGAGTTCCCCGCCGCCCTCGCGCTCCACCTTCCCGG